ATTGATGAACAGAAATATTAATATCTTGATGAGAAACACAGTAACATTCCCACAAAGGAAATGACTCCTAAAAAAGGTGTTTTGGAGGTTTCCGCTCAAACAAAATGGCATCCTAAAAGATCGTATCCTCTCTGCTGGGGCCTCCCATTCCGGGAAGCACCACCCTATTTGTAAGTGGATGTGTTGGGTAATTAGAGGTAACCGTGAATGGTACAGAGATCATTAACGTTTTCTTTCACACCATCGCTTATGCTGGGCATTTCTGAGCACTTAGCACTTCTCCAGCCTTGATACCCCCGCGTACAAACACAGAAGCTGGAGGCTCATGGAGAAACGCATATGTACACAGAGGGCGGGGGCTCCCAATCGTCAGAAGCACATGGCACTTTCTCAGCGACTGTCAATGGTCCCTCTGCTCACAGCCTTAGGTGCTGGCTGCTGTTATCCAGGACTAAGGTGGCGATTAGGCACCGAGCTCTGCTCCCCTCATGCATGTGTTTACAACTCTGGCTCCGGGAGTTGGGACTAGGCCTCTGAGACAGTGGGAGACAGCGGGAGACAGCGGGAGACAGCTGAAGACTGCAAGAAACAGCGTGAGGCAGCGAGAGACAGTGAGAGACAGCAGGAGACAGTGAGAGACAGCGGGAGACAGCGAGAGACAGCGGGAGACAGCGGGACATAGCGAGAGACAGCGGGAGACAGCGAGAGACAGCGGGAGACAGCGGGAGACAGCAGCCTGGCCTGCCAACATGCTCCAAGCTCTCGCCTCGGGTTTTGGTCATGGTCACGACCTCAGACTCACTAATTTGAGGTTACGGTCATGGTTTTCTCAGGTTGACCCTTGAGGGGATGGGTGTCGGGCTAAAAAACAGCAATGGGCTGCATATGGCTATTGGCAAGCTGCTTCTTCCTTTAATGGAAGGGCCCAGATCATGTGACATCATCGCGGTCCCTCGAAAGGCGTCGACATCCCACAGCCCACAACAACAAAAGAATGACATGGTGCCTTAAGAGAGTCCCCATTCAGGGCTCCCACGCACAGAGCGGACAGATGCAAGCTGAAAGAAGCTTCTGGAAAGTCTTCCTTGAGGACCTTGGGTGGGGCCATCTTTCCCAGAGATGCCAGGCACTGATGTCAGCCTAGCCACCAAGCAGGCCCGCACCCCAGGCCCCTCGAGCTTGGCAAAGGGAATAATTACAGCCAGGGAGCTGAGCCCACATGCATTTTTAATTAGGCTGCATTATGACATCACCGCTCCACCAGAGCATTACATCATCCCCACTTGTAAGTGTGCCTGTGCTTGAATCGTGGGGCTGACCGTCACGGGGACTACACACTGCTGGAGGCTGGCTTGGCACATGAATTACTGTCTGGTATATCATGCCGATTCCACTGATCAAATCCCTGCTCTGGGTTTGGCTGTTTTCTGCATCTCTTTGAAGCCCGACTCTGTTTCTCTGACACTGCAGGTCACATGGTGCCGTACGGAATGGCAGCAGCCAATGGGAGGAAGGCAAGATAACACCGGTAGCCTGGCAACTGCAGTTACCTGACAGATCAGTAATGTGCTATGGAAAGGGCAGCCTGGCCAGTTTCTCCCCCCACCACCAGTAACATCATTTTCATAACAAAGTGCCTGTTTATTCCAATCACTTTTTGGACAGCTAAGATAAATAGTATTAACTGCAAATACATATATTCTGAGGTCTGTATTATTTTGATGGTTTTGATTGGGCGTTCACACTGTCACTCAGCCAGGGGCCACTCCCTCCCTGCATCATACACAACTCTGCTTCTTGCGATTGGCTTTTACGGTGCTGTTACTCCTTCACTGCCTGCTATAATGTCCCAGCTGTGACTATCAGTGTGAGCGCCCCCCTCAGGCTCGGCAGCTGCGACACAGGTGGCCTTCGCCCCCATGCCACAGAAGGTGGGAAGTACCAGCACCAAATGGCAGGAGAACACCAGCACTGAGCCTGCAACTATAAACTAGTCACGTCACCGGGGCCTAAACCTCATGCAAGCTGGTACAATGAAGGATTAGACATAAAGCAGAGAGGAGAAAAGCACATAAAGCTGCACCCCAGGTAAGGTGGGCGCTGTGTGACTCAGCAGAACAGCCCATTGTGCCTGTGATCAGAAGGTTGCTGGTTCAAATCCCGTCCTTGGCAGAATAGCTCCATCTTGACACCCCCAAAATGCTGCAGGGGTACAAGATAAATGGCTGACCCAAAGCTTCTCTCTCACCTCTTTATGTGTGTAAGCCTTAAAAAGAGAGAGCATGATGGGATGTGTGAAAAAAACACATCCCGATGTACTTGTGCAAATAAAGCTTCACATCATATTACAGCAAAACTTAACTGTAAACCAGTGTAGAGTAACATGGCTGCTTGAGGTTTGGTCTCATTTTAACACTCAAAGTCATATTCCTCTGTAGCTGTGATGTGTCTGATCACTCACTGCTTGCTTAGGAAAAGGCGGCCCCCATCAGCCTGGAAGGACAGGAGCCTTAAACGCTGGCAGCAGGCCAGAGCGCATCCCTGCCGCTGTGGCGTGAGATGCACTCTCCGGCTCTCCGGGCACGGGCCGTTGGGTCTGCGTTCACTGGAATAAAGGGCCATGTCAGCTGGCGGAGTGGCTGCACTCCTCCCATGTCAAAGTGCACTGTGTCAAACCTGTCCACTGTAACATACATACAGTACCAGTGGAAATTCTCTCCCTAAAAATTTAACTTAAATTGCACCCCAAAGCATGTTTAAGTATTTTAAATGTAGAACACCCTCCAACCCTTTTTGCTTTAAATCAGCCGGGCACTGGACTTTCAGAGAAACACAAAGGTCTGCTCTCTTATTTTCAAAGGCTTATTGAACTGCATCATGCTACTTCATCGGCAGATTGTTGTTTATACGCAAATACAGTGAGATTCAATGGGGGAAAAGAACATGGAAGACAAAGTGCAGTTCGATTTGGAAACAGCTGGATAAGGGGAGTATTTATAGACGTCGCAAATCCCCCAGACTCTCCTTTCCTTGAGAACCACGGTCGTCCTGGAAACCGAATGAATTCCTTGGGACACTGCAAGGCAGCTGGTGTGCATTAATTCACAACATGCAGCCAGCCTGTGTGAACTGTGCACAGCCCTTTGAAATACCCCCTCCCCCATGTAAAGTGCTTAAGTGAACAAACATTAAAGTGGAATTCAAATTGTGCAACTCCACGGCGAGAGACAAATGACAAATAAGTTATGGCTTGAATCTTTGGGGAATTACTACCTTAGTTACGATCCTGAGATATGACATTTGTGAATTAAATTAAGAACATATATCCATCCAGAAATCCATTGATCCATCCATTTTCTGTAACCACTTATTTTATATAGGGTTGCAGGTGTCCAGATGCATGGAATAATCCAGGATGGGGAACCAACCCATGGCAGGGCACACTCACACACCATTCACTCACACTCACACACCATTCACTCACACTCACACTCACACACCATTCACTCACACTCACACTCACACA